AACGAGTTCTAGAAACGAATGTCAATAGCTAATTGTCCTGGCGAAGAGAAAAGATGGAAAGATTGGCTATGGATTTGATGACTGCACGCTGTTGCTATACGAATAAGCTATTTTTATTCCTAGATGAGAATCTTGTCGATGTAAGGATCTTGATAAAGGGCCGATTTATCCTAGCTAACGACGGACCCTTCACAAAATGAGGAAAGTTCTTTATATTTGATGAAACAAATCAGATTTTGATAAATTTTCTAACGTACCTTGTGTCTTGCATGTGATCACAGCGTCAAAGTCACAAGTCGTCTGCCACCATCCTGTGCGATTGCAATTCAGTATTGAAGCTTCAGTTCCGTTACACTCAACACCACTAAGCCAGGCACTACCATTAGCAGAGCTTGGTGTCCTCACAGCGTAAACATCAACAACGTTCACATATCCAAGCATTCTACATATCACTTTCACATCAGGGTAGTCCAGTCCCTCGTAACATAGAGTACTCCATGAATTACCATAGCGAACACCAACTCGACCAGAATGCGGCGTGATATTTTTTTCTAGGCGTATCTGTAATGTCACGGGATCTGCAAGCATAGCAGTATGTAGTATCTCTTTCAAAAAATTCCTAATTAAGAATATCATTTTTCTTTGACTACTTTAGTGAAAAGTAGTTGTGTTAATCTTACCTTGATGACTCGAACAACGAACCCCAGGGTAAGGTCCACCGAAGAACATGAAGTACATGGAGTCTTCTTGGTCGGCATAATATTTACAGTACTCGAGTGACGTTTCGTTGCCTGTGCAATAACCAAATAATGTCGTTAAACCACTCCTTGACACTCTTGCTGGTCCAGTCCATGATGCATTGCGGTATCCCAACATACGACACACTATCTTAGCAGTTGTCATGTTCCACCGTCTCCAGCGTCTCTCGTGTCTCCAGTATCTCCAATATCGATTAATTTCACCAACCGTGCCCCAGATCCCTGCGGAGCCAATTTCCACTCGGCCTTCGTTCAAAGAGAAGCCGTCTATCAAGCGAACAGCAAATCTAGATCCTTGAGCGAAGAAAATGTATTTAAGATTAAGAATTTAGAAGTCTCTGTATTGCTAGTTGTTGTTCCTGACTGCACACTAATTATGAGGAATAGATTTAAAGTTTATACCATTATACCAAAGCTGTTACAAGTAGATCACAAATAGGACCAAGTGTGCTCTAATAGCGAAAGGTAATGTAATATACGTACTGTTTTNATTGGACTAATAGCTCATGAATAATTAACGAGTTCTAGAAACGAATGTCAATAGCTAATTGTCCTGGCGAAGAGAAAAGATGGAAAGATTGGCTATGGATTTGATGACTGCACGCTGTTGCTATACGAATAAGCTATTTTTATTCCTAGATGAGAATCTTGTCGATGTAAGGATCTTGATAAAGGGCCGATTTATCCTAGCTAACGACGGACCCTTCACAAAATGAGGAAAGTTCTTTATATTTGATGAAACAAATCAGATTTTGATAAATTTTCTAACGTACCTTGTGTCTTGCATGTGATCACAGCGTCAAAGTCACAAGTCGTCCATTACACTCAACACCACTAAGCCAGACACGACCATTAGCAGAGCTTGGTGTCCTCACAGCGTAAACATGATTGACATCCACATATCCAAGCATTCGGCATATCACCTTCACATCAGGGTAGTCCAGTCCCTCGTAGCATAGAGTACTCCATGAATTACCATAGCGAACACCAACTCGACCAGAATGCGGCGTAATATTTTTTTTTCTAGGCGTATCTGTAATATCACGGGATCTGCAAGCATAGCAGTATGTAGTATCTCTTTCAAAAAATTCCTAATTAAGAATATCATTTTTCTTTGACTACTTTAGTGAAAAGTAGTTGTGTTAATCTTACCTTGATGACTCGAACAACGAACTCCAAGGTCACGTCCACCGAATAACATGAAGTCTTCTTGGTCGGTATAATATTTACAGTACTCGAGTGACGTTTCGTTGCCTGTGCAATAACCAAATAATGTCGTTAAACCACTCCTTGACACTCTTGCTGGTCCAGTCCATGATGCATTGCGGTATCCCAACATACGACACACTATCTTAGCAGTTGTCATGTTCCACCGTCTCCAGCGTCTCTCGTGTCTCCAGTATCTCCAATATCGATTAATTTCACTAACCGTGCCACAGATCCCTGAGGAGCCAATTTCCACTCGGCCTTCGTTCAAAGAGAAGCCGTCTATCAAGCGAACAGCAAWTCTAGATCCTTGAGCGAAGAAAATGTATTTAAGATTAAGAATTTAGAAGTCTCTGTATTGCTAGTTGTTGTTCCTGACTGCACACTAATTATGAGGAATAGATTTAAAGTTTATACCATTATACCAAAGCTGTTACAAGTAGATCACAAATAGGAYCWAGTGTGCTCTAATAGCGAAAGGTAAGTGTAATATACGTACTGTTTTCCGGGTATACTTTTAATTTTGATGTAAACGTTTTGTGATTCACCAAAAAWRAACACTAGTGCATTACAAGACAAAGTGTTCCTTGCAGAGCTAGAAGCCAGTAAAATACCTGCATGTAGTTTACAAACWATCCAGTTAGTSTKATAATTTGAATTTGGSCTGACGGAGYTGTTACACTGTTCCGTTGAATTCTCAAAACCCCGACAGCGCATGTCTACTTCATAGCATCTCCGATCTTGAAAGTTTATGAAGGCAATAATAGCTTGACTGTACCCCATCATACGACAWATAACATTAACAYCATTTGATCGCAGACCACGTGATAAATATATTGGAATCCATRMACCATAGTAGCGCATTTCCAGTCTTCCTGCATGAGGAACTGGTCCATCAACAAGTCGATATGCAACATTCGGTGATCCTGAAAAAGTAAAAATGTATCGAAATAATGAAAATAGAGCGTTGTAGTACAAAGTCTGAGTGCTTTACCAGCACATGTCACTCAATGTCACTCACAAACAATGTTCAATTATTTGACCTATACTAGCTCGATTTCGCGTTGGACAACTACAATGCGTTATTTAAAAACAGTACTCAGAAATTGTTTTGCCTTCCTTCGTGCAAAATGTCGATTGATTGAATTTTGAGCATTTCATAGATTTACTGGATGCATTGTATGTTTCAAAAATGAAGAAAATCTGTTGACTTTGCGCTGTGCTACTAAGATGTTTAATACCCGAAACCTGTCAAATTCTAATACTTCTAAGTCAAGGTCACCTGATTTACAAACAACACCAGCTAAGTAGTTATCGGCACATCTCCGCTTTCCCCACACAAGGCTCGAGCATGATTCAATAGACTGTTCAAAGCCACTACAGCTATACTGGTAGGAGAGCCACACATCGCCAGAACCCTCATAGTCACTACTGAATACAGCATAACCATCAGGATAACCAGCCATTTGGCAAATGACTTTGGCACCAGATGAAAAYCAATTCGTACCGCAGTGGTTTTTCCAGACACCCTTGTACAACAATTGTATTCGACCAGCATTAGGCACATCACCAATCAGCCGAACTTTGACTGGAGGACCTGGATTGAATGATAGATTTGTAGCAATGAGATTTATTCTTGGTGATCGTAATAGTACGTAATAGTCCTCGGTGTTCTGGTATTTTATAAGAAACGTTGTACAAACCAGTAAGTTTGTTTCACGGATGGTTGTTATTGAAAAATATATGCACAATCTTTCAAGACGCCAATAATAATATATGTACCTGTATAGCACGTGATAGCAAGAAAGTAATCGTCGTCGTCACAGTTATGAACGCCCCATCCTCGGTGTGGGCACTGATCTAATGACAATTCATCACCATTACAGTTTACACCAGATAGCCAAATTGGACCAGATCCTCGTCCTAAGCTCAAGTACCTCACTCCACTCTCGTATCCAAGCTGTTTGCATGCAAAGTTCATGTTAGTTTCACCACAACAGGAACCACATATTGTTCCCCATTGACCATTGTGATATATCTGTAAAATACCATGAACTAATGACGGGGAGGATGTTTTACCAAATAACCTCAATGGTGGTGCTGTTAAAAAAAATGACCAAGAAATAAATGAACAATGGTACTAGGTGGAGATCCTGAATTTAGATCGCAAAACATTCATATACTTTTGGAATTATGTTTATCAACGGTTATTCAAGCACTGGGCCGGGTTGTTCAAGCCCACTTATAGTGTAAATCCAACTACATAGGTTTTTTAAGAGTTAACCCAGGATTAGCACTAATCAGGCTTTGAACAACTCGCCCCTGCAGTTTTATGACACATKAAAGGTTTGCAATATCAACTACCCTATATTGATAATTATATAATTAAGAGAAAGATGAGTTTTCAAGATGAGGTTTACTAAATCAAAGGTTATGAGCTGCTAACTCAGATCAACGTTCCGCTGAAGTAAGAGCCAAGAGAACCACTTACTAAAAGAGAGTTGGGATGAATTTGGGAGTTATCCTCCAAACCCCACCCCAGAAATATGCCTGGATACTCATCGCGTGCTTACCAGAGTTACACATGATACCAACATCCTGGCTGTGAYYGCAGYTATGAACACCCCATCCTMGGTGTTTGCACTGATCTAGTGACGACTCACCGCCATTACATTGTACTCTAGAAAGCCAAACTGGACCAGATCCTTGTCCTAAGAGTAAGTACCACGTTGCTGTGTACTTGTAACCAAGCTGTTTACATGYGATTTTTGTGCTTTTGACATTCCACTTTTCATTACATATTGTTCCCCATTGATCATTGTGATAAATCTGTAAAATACCTTGCACTGATAATGGAGAAGAAGATTCTTTTTGCAACAACCTCAATGRCGCTTTTCCTAGAAATGGGGTTTACCATAATGCATTAAAATGTATAAAAGACTAATCTCATTTCTTAATTTAAAGATTTCTCAAATCAACTTTTCATTCCATGGTTCCAGTAGCCTGCGTGCACTGAACCTGTCGTCATGTCAACAATTTTGGTTCGACTGCGCGAAGTCTATGGTACCAGTGGTTGTCCCTTCTTTTCTAGACGTTTCCATATTTTTCGTCATTTTGCCTTTTCTCTGAAATTAGTGTGATGTTCATAGGAATTGCAGCTATCTTTCTGCAATGATATAAAAGGTGGTAATTGTCATCATGTCTGCGACTTTCGTTATGATAACAATGATATCTAAACGATTGTTGTTATGATTGCAACTGATACTAGTCTATTATATGTACTTTTGGAAGCTGTAAGAGAGTTTCTTTTTTATTATTTTGTTGGGTATTTATCAATCTGAAAAACTCGAAAACTGAGTGTGTTRGAGTACCGACAGCTACGTAATAGGACAAGACGATTACCTTATTTTTTGTGTGAATTTTATGCATTGAGAAAAAGAGTTTGTGCGAGAACACTGTCAATAAAAGAACATCGAATCCAATCAACAAATCAACTTCTCTCATATMAAAAATGTTCAAGACGCGTCGATAATACCGCCAGGTTGATGAARGAACTTTGAAAGTTAAACGAGAACGGTTTCTTTAGAAGATATATACTGCAATTGTCTTCCTTATGGCGTTATGCCGTCGATGTACGTTCACCGTGGTGCACTATGGGATTGACGAAAACAAAATGAAACTAGGCTATTCTCCTTTTTTGATKTGTTTTTCGTTATGTATTGTATAATCTAGTCCGTAGCCATCTCTTGTATACACAAATGTATTGACTGCCTTTGAAGGAATTACCATGARATCTAGTGGCTAATTGACAGACCTCAGTGGGGGTTACATATATAGATTTTGTGCACGTTGATACCCTATTGATTTGGCATKATACCGTCGATGTATGCTCGTCGTGATGCACTATGGGATTGACGCAAAATAGAAATAAAACCAGGGCCGGGTTGTTCAAAGCCCGATTAGCGCTAATCCTGGGTTAACTCTTAGAAAAACCTATGGAGTTAACCCGGCCCAGGCTGCTTTGTAAACAGAAAAAAATAGTTTCCATTATGTAGTGCATATAATCTACTGCGCAGCCATCTTTTTTAGATACAAATGTTTTGACTGCCATTGATGGGTGSAGAGTGCCAATWCACAGTAACTTTCGAGATCTCGCTATCTCACTTAATATAGTTAATGGAAACAGTGAAACGGGATCTGTTGCAAGTGTCAGGGGTCCTGGAATCCTTCCTTGGCAGATAAAGTCTTTGAGATATGATATAATGATGTTGATTGTACAATTACATTGGGATAAGTCTATTTGACCTTCTTTGCATAAGTCCTTAAACCGCAAGTAAAATTAAAAAAACTGAAACCGCTCTGACTTCTCAAATGCCTTCGAATCATATGTATGCCAGGTTTTGTTCTGTCTTAGACAATAATTTTGTTTTAGCCACTTTTTAYTCTGATATACCATACCAATATCATTCCTAACAATTACATCGATTTTTGACATCAATCAACTTACCAAATGTGTAGCAAGTATAAACAGCTAAAAACCAAACAAGAATAACGTTAACTCGAACTTTTTCCATTCCTAAAAGTCCAACAATTTGAAATTCACTGCTTCGTTTGCTAAAGCAAACTACAGTCTTTGATGTCCTCTCAGCTTTTGTTGTGTTGTTTTTTCGAAATGTGAAATCATAAACGATGAAGTTTCATTTCTTGAAGCAATTGCCTCATTAAATTGACTGACCAGGGGTACCCACAGTAGTAATGGGATTCGATACTGCACAATTTTGAGTATTATGCGTTTTGAAAATGACCTCAAAGTTCTCAAAAAGCACTCCACACAAGATTCTGTAGAGATATGATGATCCAAGATTAGTTTCATTGATCATATCTTTAATTGTTTGAATTCTAAAATKAATGAGTTTAGCACTGCCGATGTTTCGGTTCATGGCTTGCTTAAACGGATGGTTTTAGAGGTACAGTTCTATCCAAGAAGCTTTGCGATCGCTTGTTCTGTTTTATAAATGATGCTTGCGTGCACATAGGCTTTTTGACGTTTTCGTGCCAGCTTTCGAACTCGAGTAACATGAAATCATAACAAAATGTGAAAGTTAGATAATATTTGTGGTTGACTGTTCATCTAGCCAATCAGACGCTCAAATACCGTTTGAACATGTCATTGACTGAAACCACAATAAAAACAAGAAAGTAGAAGAAATGTACGATATAACATTAAACCATCGAATTGKTTTAAATTCCCTGAATTCAAAAGGTTAATATCCAGATATTAAGACGTTCAATATGGCTCGAGAGGACCATAATGACCGTCGAGATTACTTTTAACACATTCTGTGAAAATATGATAATTTAAAATTAGTTTAATCATATCTTTGAGTGTTTCAATTGAAAACATGATATGATTATAAACATTATTTTTTGTACGTTATACTTTTTCTTTTCTCATCAAAGAAATGTTTTCCTTGAGCACAGCCGCTTTCTATTCACGTTGTATCRCGAGGAGTTATAAATGTGCGCCAAACGAGTTCCAAATATTATGGCATATGTGAAAAAAAWWTTTCCTGAAAACAAAATGAAATTTCTAATCAACCTTCGTTATATTGACCATTTTTATATCATTATTTAGCTGGTATACTGCAACGGTAGACTTCATTGTTTTAGATATTTATTGATCACCCACCTGACATCCCCTGGATCTCATCCTGATAAAAAGTACTATTAATTGYATACTGTTTATCAATTTTAACTACTCGTGCGTCCTAAATGTTTTACTCAATCAAGTTTTCATAGAGATTTCATGAGTTTGTTTCTAGTGCTGCAAGCTGACCCTCACTGAAACCTTATGGTCCACGCAACAGACATTTTAACTAACACGGGCGCCATCTTGAATTTTGAAGAAATTATAGGATGTTCAGGTGAACATCAAGCAAACATTGTCATATAGAATAGAACTGAAAAATGTCTTTCACAATTTTGGGCTTCATTAGCTTAATTTAATTTTTCAAAGCATCCAAATTTTTTTTATTTGATTTTCACGTTCTAGCAATATTCTGATATTATTCATAGCACTGCAGTCTTAATCATTATAATTGAATTGTTTATCAGTGAATATGCGAAAATTACAGACTGGATTAATTATGTAATTATAATTTGTTTATATCTAAGMCAAAAGCAATAGTTTAATCTACAGCAATCGGCCGCAACTCGACCGAAATTAATATTAAAACAGAGGTCAATGTGCGTCCGTTATAGGCCCAAAAACTGTTGCAAACGGACAATACGTGTTGGAGTTGCGATTCGTTKCTGGAAGAACAGSCTGCAGGCTGCAAATCAGAAGTGAATAAGTTTAGACTGAACTTGTACAACCAACCGAAAGAAACCTGAGATCTTCCTCAATACCTCAAGAATGGTTTTATACGAAACTTGCTATCCCAGTACCAGTTTCCTCGATTTACTACAAACCGTTGCCACCAAACACATAACACATAAACAAGCTTGTCGGACAATATTGAATACACTGTTTTTGAGGGGGGGGGGGGGGATTTGATTCAAATTAGGACAGGGACGTTCCTCAAGAGAGCAAAATCGTGAAATTCTATACCCTATTCAAAAGAAATTAGTAAAGTGTATAGACACTATCCAAGACAAATGAAAGTCAATTGCATACCCTATTCAAGGAAGGAGCAGGAGATAGGGATCGTCATCACTGACATACATGGTGTTAGAAGATAATTAAAACTAATTACTTCTTAAGTGTAAACCAGAAGGATCCCTTAGCGCAGTAGAATCTTTGAGGGAAAGGGGGYCATTAGCTAAATACTATAAAATGATTTATTGTTTTTCATGTTTTTCATGTTTTTAATGCAGCTAAACGTTTTTAATACAGCCTAATGTTTTTAATGCAACTTTTTAAAACCAAGTTTATTACCATAGAGCTTGCAGGAGCTTTTATTAAACTAACTGAAATGCACAGGAACCTCTCCTTATGGACAGCAGTTTCATGGAAGACTTCTTCATTGCAACAGCCTTATCGCAGTGTGGTAACGAGGCATATAGTTCTGTCAGTGATGCCCAATCCCAGGGCTAAAAGTCTGATCCTTGATCTCGAAATAATGACTATTTTGATCCGTGATCCTCATCAGTCTCTGAATGACTTTGTGATCATGACTTATTAATATAAGACCACTACAGAAGAAATTTAAGATCCCAATACCAATGCTCAAACTTTTATCCGTGAGCCACTTTCCACCCCCCCCCCCCCCCCCCCCCCCCCCCCCCCCCCCCCAAAACAAATGTGATCCCTGAGCCGAAAATAACGCTGATCCCTGATCTCGTATAATGCATTTATTGACTTATAGTATACCTCGCTACTACTCTGGTCTCGGCGATTGCATCACTCTGGGGGAATTATCTTAAGCATGGCGTTCACGGCAAACTGCAAACGGCAGAAAAGATCACGTGACCMGCTYTTTGGGAGYTMACCCTTACAKTTTCAACGCGAGAGAGGGTTATTTTGAGTTTGTCATAATCGTGATAAGTCGCTCTTTCCAATGACTACCTAAAGCACAAGGTCRGGCACGAAATTCTTAGGTCATTRGTTCAGCTCTGCCGTTAGCCCTTTGCCGTAAACGCGATGCTTAAACTCTCTATTATGAAAAATTCTACGGAAACTTTTTCTGCAGGAAGATGTCTTACGCGACTTCTTGGTGTCCGTAAGATGAGGTTCCAGTGTATCATATTTTGACATCGTAATGTTTTAGCTAATTATTATTATTCTTTTTTCTGCGCCAAATGCTTCTGCTTCATGACTCTGGGGATCCATGAGATTCAGGCGTTGGTATTCTCGTATATTGCCTYTTCCGTGTGGGACAAAGTAGATTTCCCCTGTAAAGAAAGTGAAGGCAATCTAACTGAAATAAGAGACCTCAAAGCATAACATTTGTAAATAAAWAGACAAAATGTTTAGTTTTTATGCGTTTTTTCAATAAAAAGATTAAGCAATAATCAAACTCTGGTACCTCCCAATGCAGACCTGTACAATTCTCGTATCACATTAAGTCTTCACCATTAATTGTTTATCAGTGAATATGTTAAAATTTCAGCCAGGATTCACAATAGAAATATAATTTTGTTAATGTGGCAAAGGAAAAGTAATTCCAATAATTATTTATTTAACCTACAGCAATCGGGATCTAACATCACTCGATTGACTCGACCCAAAAAGTACTTACCGGTCCACCAACGACCTGGTAAGAAGATTCTATACCAAAGCCTCCACTTTGCTTGGATCTTTTCTGTGGAACAAGAGACTGATAATGGGAATCATTACCGGCCAAGCTGACTGCATCTGTGAAGGTAAGATAATTTATACAATCAAGAAGACCTGTTTGCGTGTGTGTTTTTTTACTATCCATAAACGTGGTCTTCAATTTGTAAAGTTTAAAGTTCTAACCGAGTTACACTCGTCAATGTTAGCAGTACAATGACTACTCATTTTGAACATTTTTGCACATTTGAATCCGCAAATTATGAAGCACTTTCCACAATTGAACTTTATATTGCACAACGATTTTAAAAGTATTTCGTAGTATTGCCAGGAGCCCCTTTCATCGTCCGGCGGTGGAAAGTATGTGAGCTCTAATGGCACTGAAACGCCATGCATAGGGAATTTTTGTTTGTCTCCGTTCACATGATTTAAATTGCAACCGAGTAACCGAGTTCAATGTGCGTGGCTTAGCCCAAAAATTGATTTCCCATGAGCGCAGAAAAAGATAATAACTTTTTTTCTAATCTTACGAAAGAAATACTACAAATCAACCGTCATGTTTAAGATATTCCACAACAAAGTAAGGGAAAGAATAATTACTTTTTTTGCTTCGCTGTGCCAGGTACTCCTGGTATTGCTGGCCAGAGGTTTCTCCTTTATTAACACGTGCAGCCGTCAAATCTGTTACGAAAGAGTAATTGTGACCATTTTATATTACAATTGAAGTGTCATTTGGAATAATGACAACAATTTGAAATACCTTTACCAGTCAGTTACTCAAAGGACTGACTTTCTGCATGTAACAGATTATAGTCAGTTTTAGCCAATTTCAGATCTCGTGTCATTCTTTTTCAAATTATAATTTAAACTAGACTTATTATATGGACGACATTGAAATAGATAATCAATACTGAAAAAGAATGACACGAGATCTGAAATTGGCCAAAACTGACTATAACCTGGTACATGCAGAAAGTCAGTAAAGGTATTTCAAATTGTTGTCCTTATTCCAAATGACACTTCAATTGTAATATAAAATGGTCACAAAAAAACGTTAAAGGCATAAAAAAACGTTAAAGGCATAATTTTCTAAGAAATCACACATGGTCTGGCATGTATCACCCTCAATCCCATTTCAAAGAGACCTTCGTTAATGCGTTTGTCTTTCATTGGTGCATTGCCCTCAACTCACCTCCCTTCGCTAAGAAAACGCATTAGCATCGGAAATGCCTGCATTTTTAAAAAGCAGTAAGATAAACAAAATGATAATTTTAACTCTCAGTTTGTTAAAATAAACGGACAGTTTAATGTAATTCACGGTACCTGAGATCTCGATCTGCGGATTGATATCTTTTGTCTTTTGCTTCTTTCTCTTCTTTACAAAATCATACACAATGTAACCAGCCAATGCAGACATGGCAGAGATTGACATCGCCAAAACGACGGATAAACCAATCACCAATGAATCATTGCCGTCTGAATTCGTATCAGAATGTCCTGAAGAATTTATGAAGTTTTATAAGTTTTGACTTCGAACTGAATGTAATAAATATGACAAACGGTATTGCAATTGGTTTGTTCTGCACGGCAAGAAAGGTCATCACCGCTGTCGTTTGATTAATCAACTACTGTTACTTATTTGAAATGCGGGTGGATCAACTATAAGATCAAAGATAAGAGATCGTTTTAAATAATGACAAATGGATCTCGGATTGGAAATGCAATTTTCTCACTTTTTGGTCTTGTTGCAAACCTCGCAAAACTGGATTTTCCAAAAATCTTTTTCTGAAAGCAAAGCGAGAGGTGAGTATTTCTTTTCACTAGTGATTTGCTGCAGATCATTTTGATATCATCATCATATAGATTCGTATAATTACCCCATCCATTGCCATGGTAACGATCCTCACGTGTACCCTGTACACACGTCCGGGTTCTAATGGTACATTATGGTATCCATGGTAATAGAGGCCATCGCCAATAGTGAAACTAGTAGTACTGGCTGGAACCTCTGCAGTGATGTAAGAATCTTTGAAGACTGTCTTGGTGATGACAGAACATGTCTTTCCGGTTTTATTGCTGTCTGACGTGATAGAGGATAGTATTTCTCCACCCTTTTTCACTAAAAATTGATACGAGCTGAAAAGAGTGATCATCAGAAAGATTCAGGATGTCGGCAACTATAATCAGTCAAACAGTTAGCTTTTACCTTTTTAGTCGTGCATCGAATGTCTCGGTTGCTTTGGCAAGGTTAATAATTGCTGAAGAACCCGTAATGCCGTTGGTTGTGTCGATTTGAAAATGAGGGGCATCAGCTTTTCAAAAAAAGAGGAAGGCATAATAAAGTTACAAGAGAAAATTATAAGCACTAATTTTCTTGATCATGTATACTAACAAGCAGCATTAAGTCACATAATTAAAAAAAAATTATTTTGGTTGATCCTAATTATTACAATGTAAAATACTTCACCTAAGTTGCACGTGACGGCAGCGTCCTGGTCATGGGTGCAATTGATTGTCTTCCACCAACCTGAATGACTACAGTCAACAATTGAATCTTCTGCTCCGTTGCATTCAAGGTCACTAAGCCAAATAGTACCATTTCCAGGAATCGTGAACATGTGACTTACTTCAACATAACCAAGCATGAGGCAGATGACTTTAGAATCGTTCATATCCAGTCCTTTGTTGCATAGAGTGCCCCATGTGTTACCATAGCGAATACCAACTCGACCAGAATGAGGTGCAGTACCGTTTTCCAGACGGATATCAACAGTTGTTTTACCTGGTAGGTAAAGAAGAAGAAAATTTCTAATGAGCGATTGACGAGGCAGGCACCCTTATAAGGTACTGGTATAGCTACTGGTTTTAGATTGAATGTAAATTGCGATTTACTAACTAAATGTCGCATTGTTTGAACAGTGCAAATATTAAAACGATAAAGGAAAATATCAAGCTACAGTTGGTCCAAGCCTTCCATCTGTATTTACACGATGTCTTCAATAAAATAGACTTGAAACGTACCTAGAGTATTGCATGTGATCACAGCGTCAAAGTCACACGTGGTCTGCCACCATCCTGTGCGATTGCAATTCAGTATTGAAGCTTCTGTTCCRTTACACTCAACACCACTAAGCCAGACACGACCATTAGCAGAGCTTGGTGTCCTCAGAGCGTAAACATCAACAACGTTCACATATCCAAGCATTCGACATATCACTTTCACATCAGGGTAGTCCAGTCCCTCGTAACATAGAGTACTCCATGAATTACCATAGCGAATACCAACTCGACCAGAATGGGGCGTGACACCATCTTCTAGTCGTATCTGTAATGTCATGGTATCTGCAAGCATAGGGGTATAATTTGAAGACACGCTCAAGGATCATTCTGATTTGCCATTCGTTTATTAGTTCCCAAGAACAGTAGAAGCTAATTACAAACGATGATCAATTTGATCGACAAGCTGAGGTTGAGGAAGCTCGACCAGAAAAACGTTCCTCAGTCGGAGTGTTTGTGTCTGTTGTGGAGTAGAAGCGGGTGGCACGGGTGGTCTAGTGGTTAAGCTGCTGGCCTCTCATCACTGTGGTCCGGGTTCGATTCCCGGGCACGGACCACATGTGAGTTTGAGTTTGTTTGATGTGTTGTTCTCTCCCTTGCCACGAGGGTTTTTCTCCGGGTGCTCCGGTTTTCCTCCTTCAGTAAAAATCAAGATGTGAGGAGTGTTGTGTGCTAAAATACTTAATGTAGAGGTAGTGAGTGTGAGAGTACATGGTCTGCAGTAATTGGCTCACGCTGTTGCGGTGTCCTTGCCCATACTAGGGGCAAAGCTGATAAAAAATTTAAATAAACATAAAGTTCCAAACTCATGCACTTTCCAGACTACGGTCTATACTCTCATGGACGATCTAGACTACGGCCTCAGTCTTAGCCCGCTACTAGGTACAATAAGATAGGTCGTCGCTCGAGTGCTATGAAGTCAGTCCTTTTATCATTCTAGACCAAAATCTGATATCCTGTTACCATCAAATTTCTAATCAAAACTAAAAGGATGTTGGTCTTAACTACAAGAGGGTGTGCCTGTCTAGGACTCTAATGTCAACATATCGAGAAGTACAAGGTCATAAGAAATTCTGTTATCTAAAAATAAAGTGAAAGCATCTCTTTCAAAAAATTCTCACAGTTCAGAATCTTACCGTCAGTTAATCTTACCTTGATGACTAGAACACCGAACTCCAATATCACGCATATCAGAGTAATTTCGTGAGGGAAAATATTCACAGTACTCGAGAGATCTTTCGTTGCCTGTGCAATGATCAAATACTGTCTTTAAACCACTTCCTAACACTTTGGCTCGTCCTGTCCATGATGCATCGCGGTATCCCAACATACGACAAACTATGTTAGCAGCTGTCAAGCCCCATCGCCTGAAGCGTCTCCGGTGTCGATACCTTTCATTAAGTGAGCCCCAGACCCCTGAAGAACCAATTTCCACGCGGCCTTCGTTCAAAGACATACCGTCCATGAAACGAACAGCAAATCTAGATTCTTGAGCGAAGAAAATATATTTAAGATCAAGCAATAATTGTCAGTAGGAGCAGGTGGTTGAGAAGTGAGTAAAATATATATATATAATGGGAAATAATACCATGCCAAACCTGAAACAAGTAGATCACAAATAGGATCTAGTGTGCTCTAAAAGGTAACGTAATATAAACGAGACACGTACTGATTCCTGGGTATGCCTTTAACTTTTGATTTGTTGTGGATCAATTAGCATGTTTTTGTCTTACACCACAAAGAACACTGGTGACTATAGAACAAAGAATTTTCAATTTTCTGTAGAGGTGGTATCTAATAAAATACCTGTATGTGGTTTGCAAACAATCCAGGTAGTTTCCCGTCTCTGATTATTTGAGGTGCTGACGGAGTTTCCACACTGTTCCGTTGTATTCTCAAAACCCCGACAGCTCATGTCAACTTCATAGCTGCTTCTCCTTTCTTGGATGTTTATGAAGGCAATAATAGCTTGATTGTACCCCATCATACGACATATTACATGAGCATCATTTAACCCCAGACCATTTTGAGAATATACTGGCATCCATGAACCATAGTAGCGCATTTCCAGTCTTCCTGCATGAGGTACTGATCCAATAAGTCGATATGAAACATTAGGTGATCCTGAAAAAGATGAATGTATCGCGTTAGTCTAAATAATGAAAATAGAGAGTTGTAGTCTGAGCTCGTTAAAAGTAGATTTTGAAGATTGAAGTCTGAGCTCGTTACCAGCGCGTGGACCGATCACACTTCATACTTGTTTCAATGTCACTCATAAACCAGGTTGACAAAGGTTTTAATAAACTAACAACTGTTTCAATATAAATATGTACATATAGATGGCGTTAATACAAAATCACATCATAACCTTCCTCGATTGTTTTGGTAATAATAGGATAAGAATGTTTTTGAGAAAACGATTTCCAAGTAAAAATTGACCACTTCAACCAATCAAACTGGAACGGTCATCTTGGACGCTCAGTGTCCTTTTTAACTCGCTCGCTTCACACCAACAATAGTTGTATAGTTACAATGTTCAATCGCGTATTAGATGAATTATTTGAGCTACTATAGCGATGTGTTCTTAACTTCAGGTCGCGTTGCACAACTACAATAGGATATTTTAAAAATCCTGGCAAATTGTTTTTCCTTCCTGCATGCAAAAAAAAAAAAAACAATGATCGATATTTTTTTACTTAGCATTTCAAGGTATACTGTTAGCATTCTATGTTTCAAAAACAAAACAAAATTCCATTGAGACGTGCTCCCAAGATTTTTGATATCCAAAACCTATAAATTCTAATACTTCGGTTCTCAGTCGACGAAAATAACTCAATTTCACCTGATTTACAGACAACACCAGCTAGGTTGTTATCTGAACAAGTCGCTTTTCCCCAGATAAGGTCCAAGCATAATTCAATGTATGGTTCAAAGCCATTACAACTATAACTGGACAGCCAAACATCGTTAGATCCTTTATACTGATGCATTCTTACAGCATAACCATCAGGATAACCAGCCATTCGGCAAATGACTTTGGCAGGATTTGAACTCCAATAACCTTGACAGAGGTTTTTCCAGACACCTTTGTACAACAATTGTACTCGACCAGCATTAGGCACATCACCAATCAGTCGAACTTTGACTGGAGGACCTGAATTTAACGATAGATTTGTATCAATGAGATTTTATCGTGGTGATCGTAATGATAATGATAGAATCGAATGCGCTGCAATTCTTGAACATCAAGTAGTAGAAACATATGACCAATTGTATGAGGATTCCTCAATTTCCTGGTATTTTATTCATTAGCGAAACTTTGTACAAATCAGTAATCTGATTTGTTTCACGGATTGTTAGTATTGCAATATATCACAATCTGTCAGGACGTCCATATTGATATATGATGTACCTGTATAGCACACGATACCGACATCCTCACTATGGTCGCAGTTATGGACACCCAATGCTTTGTGTGGACACTTATCTAGTGTCGATTCATTGCCATTACATTGTACTTCATCCAGCCAAATTGGATCAGATCCTCGTCCTAAGTGCATGAACCTCACTGCCCTCTCGTAGCCAAGTTGTTTACATGTGATGTTTGTGTTAGTCATGTCCCAGTAGTCATCACATATTGTTCCCCATTGATGTTTGAAATAAATCTGTAAAATACCTTGAACTACAGACGGGGTGGAGAGTTTACCGAGTAACCTCAGCGGCGGTGTTGCTAAAAAAAAGACAATTTATATAAAATAGTTATAATTGAGCTATGAATTTAGCTCTCAACTTATCTTTATATTTAAGTATAATTAATAATTTTGAACAGCCTTTTGGAATCAGTGCTATTTTATCTTGTCTATTTAGGCTGCACTTCAATACTAATTTCGAAGCATAAGTTGTGTCGTGTTTCCTGCCAATTACGTATGTTTTTATGTTGTCGCCAATTGTTCATGTTTTATTTATGTATTCAGATTTATTCTATTGGTGAAAATATCAATAGATAAACTTAATGAATGAATGAATGTATTGATGAATGAATAAATGAATAACAAAAGAATAATATTTATTGTAGTAAATATTGAATTAAGATTGGTATCGCAATCATAGTATGTGCTTACTGTATTTACACACGATACCAACATCCTCACTGTGGGAGCAGTCATGTTTACCCCATCCTTCGTGTTGGCACTGATCTAGTGACGATTCACCACCATTACAATTCACACCATCAAGCCAAATTGGATCAGGTCCTTCTCCCAAGTGCTTGTAATTCACTGCACTTCCATATCCAAGCTGTTTACATGCGATGTTTGTGTCAGTCATGTCCCAGTTGTCATCACATATTGTTCCCCATTGACCATCGTGATAAATCTGTAAAATACCTTGCACTAATGACGGAGAAGGATATTGTTTTTGAAGCAACCTCAATGGCGCTGTTCCTAGAAAGGAAGATTACCATGTGATAATATAAAATATGCTGTTTATTATATAAACTAAAATTTATATCTATAAGGCAAGAAAAAGTACAACGTTGTACTATACGGAGTATCCATGTGAAAGATATCACTTATTCGCGCTAGGATTTTCGTGATATTTCATTGATGTTAATATAAGAAACGACTATTTGTGAATTAGTAAACTCGAAAACTGAAATACTGATAGCGCTTTGGTATAAAGTCAATCATATGTATATACTTTAAAATATTTTAGACTAGCTGTTGTGAAATTGGTTGACAGCAACTGAGTCAGCACGATAACCTTATTTGGTGTGTAAATTTTATCAGCATCGAGAACAAGAGTTTGCCCAAGATAACAGTAAGGCGCGTCAATAATACCGCCATTGTGAAAGAACCTGACAAGTCAAACTAGAACGATTTCTTTGAGGTCTGGCGTTATGCCGTCGATGTACGTTCACCGTGGTGCACTATGGGATTGACGAAATCACAAAATGAAAGTAGACTGTTTTGCAAACAGCAAAAATTAATTATTTTTCATTATGTAGTGCATAATCTAGTCGCAGCCAGATTGTATTAAACATTGGCATCATTCGCAGTGACTTTTGGTCAGGCATTTGTTTCACAACTGTTTTGAGCTACAGATCAAGTGGTTATTAAATTGATCACGCTTAATATAGTAAATGTGATCAATGAAATTTTATCTATAGCATCTTCCAGGGTTCTGGAATCCTTCTTCATCGGTAGACAAAGTTTTTGAGATATGATAATGATGTTTAATGATGATGATTGTACAATTACATTGGGATAAGTCTATTTGACCTTCTTTGCATAAGTCTTGAAACCGCAAGACAGATAAAAAAGGTGAAACCGCTCTGACCGCTCAATTGATACGGAAATAAAATGATATCGTTTTATGAATTCAACTAAAATGCAAATTTTCACGAAATATTTTTTTATATTTCAAATCATATTTATGTCAGGTTTTGTTCTGTCTAAGTAGTTTTTTTAGTAACAATTTCGACCTCTCTGATAGAAGCCATTGCGTTCCGTAATACCAATATCATTCCTAACAGAGTTAGTAGAGGAGACTGATTCTTGACATCAATCAACTTACCAAATGCGCAGCAAGTATAAACAGCTAAAAGCCAAACAAGAATAACGTTAACTCGAAATTTTTCCATTCCTTGAAAGTCCAACAATTTGGAATTCACTGCTTTATTTGCTAAAGCAAACTACAGTCTTAGATGTCCTCTCAGCTTTTGTTGTGTGTTTTCGAAATGTATATGATAAACGATGGAGTTTCATTGCTTGAAGCTGATACCTCATTAAACGTGGCTGACTGACCAGGGGTACGCACAGTGGTAATTGGATTTGATAGACGTTACACTAGTGTACTTCTACTGGACAATTTTGAGTATTTTGCGTTTTGAAAAATGACTTCAAAGTTCTCAAAAAGCACTCCACACAACATTCTTTAAAGATATTATGATTTATGCTTAGTTTAATTGGTCGCATCTTTAATTGTTTGAATTCTAAACATGTGTTTAAAATGAAACGTTTGCACTGCCGTTGTTTCGGTTCATTGACTTGCTTAAACGGAAGGTTTTAAAGGCATACTACCACCCAAGAACCTTTGCGATCATTTCGTCTGTTTTACTAGTTTTTGTAGTTGGAAGATGCTTTCCGATTGGTGCAAAATAAAAATGGCGAAATTTTTTATGTAAGGTTCTTGCATGCACGTGGGCTTACACACTTAGTAGTATAGAGTCAGCAGCACGGACCCCCATTTTTTGTGGGATTTGTGGAAAAAATCTGTGTGCTCATGAATATTTGTGGGTTAATATATTCAATATTTTTGTGGGCTATTACATATTCATTTTTGTGAGCCTTTCACTTAATCCCCGAACAATAGTCCTTTTGTTCCCCGAAAGTAGGTGGTAGGTGGTAGGTGGGTATGCTAATGAAGTCAAAAGTGATAGKGGAGGGGTGGTCAAAACGAGTAGGTGGTATAAATTATTTTAGTAGGTGGGTATGCTAATGAAGTCAAAAGTGATAAGGGAGGGGTGGTCAAAACGAGTAGGAGGTAATTCATTATCATAAAATTGTGGGCAATCTAATTATGCAACGTTAGTGTTGATAAATCGAGGGCAACCTAGTCATACAACTTATGTGTTGGTAATCTAATTATGCAATGTTGATAATATTTTATGTCAAGGTTCAGCGATCGCATAAATAAGTATCTGAAGAAAAGGTTAATGATCACTTTTGTTCTGAGACAATAGGTCACCTGCTACAGGAGTTTGAATAACCAAAAATTATGATTTTCAGCCTTTTTATATTTCTAACTATTGATTACTATACCTCACTTTTATTGTAAAGGCATTCATTACTTTGAAAACTTCCGAGAGGCCCGGAAAGGACCGGAAAGGCCCGAAGCTGTCCGAAAGTTCCGGAAAGGACCGAAGCTGTCCGGAAAGGCCCGAAGCTGACCGGAAATGGCCCGAAGCTGACCATAGAATGAGCTCCTGTTTCATCAGCATTTTAAAATAAGCAACAACAATGCAATCATTTATTTCAGTTGTTTTTTATTTTTCAATTCATCAGTGATTACAATATAACTTAAGAAAGATCGTAAACAGATGTCCTATGTTGCGAGGCGTGACTTAGTGTTTTACAATTCTTACATAGTTTGGAGTAACTTTTCGCGGTATCATAATTCAGAGGAAATTTATGTTTACAAATCGGGCAGGTTAAGATCATACTGAAGCGAGGAGATGGATTTGACAAAGCATCGTGCCAATGACATTTTGGGCATGCAGCTATCATTTTTACGTCAACATCTTGGTGATCGCAATGATCGCAACGCTTTTTGTCATTTGGCTCTTCTTCTTCACTTTCTTGTTCTGAATTTTCATCCTCCTGCTCTTCATCTTCTTCCAAAGCTTCATCTGATTCTGAATCTTCCGAATCTTCTTCTTCGGTTTCCGAATGTTCGCTTCTGATGGAGCTTTCTTCGCTATCATCACTATCGGTGATTTCTTCAGAGTGACGATTCAGTATTTCCTCCTTGTCAAGAATTTCTCTCAAGGCTTTTTTATTTTTTATCCATTTCTTGTTGATTCCGAGCTCCGCGAGTCCTTCCAGGAACGAATTGAGGGCACGCGGTTTTGTTACATCGTTATTGAAAGGAAGCAGCACATACTCCAAAAGTTCTGAGATGCTGGTTTCGGGGATACGACGTTGATTACGGAGTAATTCCCCTCTCGGAGTCCAAAACAAAATGTCTTTAGATGCAGCCATACTGTGCAAAAGATCTGAAGCATGCTGTTGAGAAACAGAACCAGGGAGCTCTTGTAACACTAACTGGATTATGGGCTCTTCATCATCATCACTTTCGCTATCTTCATCATTAGGTATTTCATGAATTTCTTCAGCTTCATTATCTAAAGATGACTTTCTATTCATGATAGAGAAGTTTACTGCACCGATGTCCAAAGCAAATGACTGCTGATTCCTCCAGCTGACGAATTTATAGCAATAAAAGAGCACTGAGGAAGGGGGTCAACATATCGGGAATAAATGAACCCCCCTCTTGCACGAGAATCTGTTTCTTTTTCTTATATGGAGTGCTTGGGTCTTCGAGTTCTTTGATAGAATCTTTAAAAGGCATCAAGATTTCTTTTTCTCTATTACTCAAAGGGATATGTCCTCTGCATATATTATGTGC